ACCTTTTCTTCTCGCTTTGCTGTGTCCGGTCTACCGTGATAAGATACCGTACATTTTGAGGGTCGTCCTTCATTGCGTCATTTATTACAAAAGTAATCTTGAATTTTGTTTTACATGGATTTTGACATGCTACATATCTGAACACCGTATAACTCCTATGTTCGCTACTAGCTCCGAGCAATTAGCTTGTATTCCTCAGGCAAAAGCTCAAGAGCACATGCACTTGATACAACTTGAGCACCTATAACAGTATCAATCGATAGGTATTCAAGTAACTCATTTATTCATTCTCCTCCGTATGCTTGCAGCCAAAGGTGTCGCTTATGTATTTGTGTTGGAATTATGCAAATTTACCCGTGATCGCACTAGAACTTGCGCAAGCCGCTATCTATTCCGCAAGCAGCGTCTCTTCTATTCTTCAGAACCCCTCTCTTACGCCACTCAGCAGACGGAACAGCCATAGATCTAACATTCCAAACCTACTAAACCCAAGTACTAACATCAACTGCCTGAGGGCCGGGACGATACCGTGTTCCGACCGAAAACTTAAGGTTCTCACGCTGTTGCGTGGCCATCTGTCCTATTCAAATCACGTCCTTTGTCGCTTGCGCAGTGCCGGAAAGCGCCGACACCAGGAAATTGTATCAGACAGTGAATAAGTGCGTTTAGGTCTTAACATGCGCTTCATACCGTCAACAGTGTAAGAAGCAGCGACACAAGCAATAGCTACCTTCATTGCTTTCAGAAAATGTAATCTCGCTTTTAGTGCATCCTGCAAACTACAGCTCGATACTCAATAAAAGCCTCAATAACCTCCTTTCACAACATTTCTTTTAGCGCATTTTTGCAGCCAGCTCCCATGCTCAATAAAGTATAATGTAGATTGCATTACCCGAGATTGAAAGCTATAATTTGAGAACTTCCTTGCTTCCTTTATAAGGCTTAACCACTGATTGGAAAAGATTTAAAGATTTGATAACCAGCTTTAAAGAAAGTGACTTTATAGATGTCCACCATCATACAAAGGTGATACCTGTGAGAAGCCATCCTGCAACAAGAAATGCCAAAACGAAGGTGCATGCCTTACGTATGACGATGGCACATCCAGCTGCAAATGTCAAATGGGTGAGTTATGTTTTGGTTGTGCTCAGCAGGATCTGTTATGAGTACAACATACAGGTTAGGATTTATGGTCATCCATGCGTGCGCATCGCCTAATCGTCTTGTATCGTTATCTGCCGTAAATCAGCGAACTTGTCACACCAACGTGACAATAAAGATTGTGACTGTTGCGTGAGGGGGGAACAACAGCGGCTGTGCAGAGGTCGAGACTCCTCACAGCGTACTCTCTCGTTAGAAATCTTTGTGATTGCACTTTGGCAGTGAGTCATGCGATCAGTTTGTTGCGATTTTTGGACGAGAGCCAGCGCGAGAAGCAAGGAGCAAGTGCGACAATCCGCGTAAGCCTTACCCATCTATCACTTTTTGTTGCCGGCTTTGTTTACTAGCCGAGAGGGATTGCGGTCGGTTGTCCCGATCGCGTTTCGTCATTCGAAAAAATCGCGACCGGCTAAACTGGCAGGCCATTTTTTTTGCACTCTGCTTACCAAACTCTTTAGTGCTTCGGGTAGCGCCGACGTTTTTTGTAGGAA